ATGTTCCGGGAATACTGCGTCCTTCAAACATATATCAAATTAAAGATTATTTTATGTACTATAAAATGAAAAAAAAAAAATTTGTCCCGACACTTTTTCTTCTACATTTAAACGGCTGCCGTAGTTCAAAAAACACTATTTTTGTGTTAAAATTTTCGATTTTAAATTTTCAACTTAAAAATGCTATAACTTTTTGAAAAATGTATATATTAGCACAAATTTATTTTTTCTAAATACATTATAAGTACATCTTTCATTTGACTTACTTTTTTATTAAAATTGGACAATTTCCCCTTATATAGGGGACGTTCAAAACTTGAAATATTGTAAAAAACATAGATCTTTTTTAACTTGACTTTTGAAAATGTTCCGGAAATACTGTGTCCTTTAAACATACATCAAATTAAAGCTTATTTTATGTACTATAAAATGAAAAAAAAAATTTGTCCCGACGACCTATCTTCTATGCGCAAATGGCTACCATATTCAAAAAGATGCTATTTTAATAAATTTTTTTTTTTAGCTTCGATGTGAAGCGGAGAAGGAATTAATTTTACTATGATGTATTTTTTTTTTTTTAATGTCTGTTGCCACTTTTTCTCAGCTCTCGCTGGACCGAATTCTTTCAAAAATATGTCAAAAGATCACAAATCGTATATAGTTGAAGACATTACCCTTAAAAATTGAAAAAAATTCCCTCGTTCCCCGCAAATGGGGGAAATATCCAAAAAAATTACAAATTTAAAAATCGCTAATTTTCGAAATTTTTTCCTTTTTTTTCTTAAAACTTCCACAACTTTTTGAAAAATCAACAAATCAACATAGTTTTTTTTTATACTAAAACCTTAGATATCTACCTTTCATTTGATATCATATTTTTGAAAATCTATCACTTAACCTGCTTATTGGGGGGAATTTAAAATAGTAACTTTTTTACAAAAATTAACTTTTTCAACTTAATTTTTGAAAATGTTCCGGAAATACTGCGTCCTTCAAACATATATCAAATTAAAGCTTATTTTATGTACTATAAAATGAAAAAAAAAAATTTGTCCCGACGACCTATCTTCTATGCGCAAATGGCTACCATATTCAAAAATATGCTATTTTAACAAATTTTTTTTTTTAATTAAACACTATCTACAGATTTGCATCGAAGCGTTTTTTATGATAGTGATTTTAATCACTGTCAGATATCATCTATACTGGACCCAACTATGCAACGACCCCACTGTGCCGCCACCCCAATATGCTACCGTTTTTTAATTTATTGTTCAGTTTGTGCCATTTTATAATTATTCTTTATTAATAAATAATAAAATAATTATTATTTTTAATATCTTTATTTATTCTTTATGTATTAACAGTATACTCTTTCTTTTGTTTTTTAGTCATGTTTAAAATAATACGCTAACGTTGTTATTTGAACGCTATGTGGGTTACATTTCATTTTTTAATTAAACACTATCTACAGATTTGCATCGAAGCGTTTTTTATGATAGTGATTCTAATCACTGTCAGATATCATCTATACTGGATCCAACTATGCCACGACCCCACTGTGCGGCCATCCCACTGTGCTGGTTTTTTTTTTTTATGATAAATACTATTTATATACCTCTTTTATTTGAATTTTTGTTAAATAAAACTATTTCCCTTTATATGTTTATTCATATATTACACTTTTAAATCACAATACTTGTAATCAGGTCATAGGAAATAGGTTATAGGAGATCATGTGGCTTTTGGAATAAACCACCAATTTTTTAAAATTAAACTTTGCATCGAATCGTTTTTGATGATAGTAAATTTAATCACTGTCAAATATCATTATACTTGAATCATCTATGCCACGTTCCCACGGTCGTTTTTAATATTTTTTTATTGAAAGTTTTTTAACAGTGACGAGTTTACATTAGGGACTACCTGGGGTAGTTGCACTTATAATTTATGTGTCTTACGTTTATGCATACTCTTAGTTTTTTAAGCCAAAATTAGTCTTAAGATTATTTGAAAAATTTTTTTTTTTGCCGAACAAAAAATTTTAGGTTGAGTATCAAGTATAAACTGTCCTTAGGAAAGTAGTTCTTCCATATTATAGAAGATATATACATTATAGAATCTATAATGTATACATTTTTGAAAATCAAAATTATTTCACTCAAAGTTTACTTCAGAAATACAACTTATCACATTCGTAGGGTTATATAAAAATAGTTTGAACTTCAAGGATGAGTTCATTAGTTTTGTTTGAGGGAATGCTGAGATTATGAATTGTAGCAACTGAGTTATTGGGGTTACTGTGATAAACTGAGAATGGTATTGTTATAGTCCACGCGAAAAGAGCGGTTCAAAATCGCATAAGACTTTTTGTTGTTGTGTTAAGACAGATACTATCATGACATAAATCCTATTTGTGTGGCTACATCCATAAATTTTTTGTGATGCTGACTAATACTAATTTTATCAATTTAAAAATCGGTTATATACAATTTGATCAACCTAAATTTCTTAAAAATTAATATCATTTATATTTAATATTTGGTTTTTGAACATTACTTATGGTAAAATGCAAAACATGATAAAAGCTTATGATATCATGAACTAGATTTACCAAAAAACAAAAAAAATGATATTACAAATAAATCAAAACAAAAAAAATGATATTACAAATAAATCAAAACAAATGTTTTTGTAAAAACCCTACATATTGATTGACTTGAAAAAATAGAAAAATATTAAAAACACTTTATTGAATTCATTTTTCAACCATAAAATAAAAAGAAAATTTATTAGATTCAAGTTAATTTGAGAATTAAATTTTTTATCATTAAATATATTGAATAAAATGCAGCTTGAAATTCCTGATTTTGTATAAATATTAATAACTTTTTCAAAACCTATAATGGAATAAAAAATTTTTAGAGCTAATAAAATAAAATATCTGATTTTAATGACGTAAATTAACATGTTTTATTCAAATCAACTCTTTTTTTTTTTAAGGAATACAAAGTTGATTTAAGTTAATAAGAGACTATCATAATAAATTATTGAATTCATATTAACATATTTTTATGTTTATAAATTATGTAATTTTAACCATTGCCAAATAAAGCAAACAATAAATACGCCCAAATACTAACAAAACTCATAACTATATATAGGTATGAAAGTAGTGTTGCCTATCTTATAAGTCTTGAAATTTAAGTAAATATTCAGTATAAAAAGTAATGATTGGTATTTAATTATTAATAAAATTATCATTATTATTACATGATAATTAAAGGAGAATTATACTTCAATGTTAGTTAATAATCAGTTTTGTTATATTTTTAAAATACTTTAGAAATATAGAATAGTGGGATTTTATTTGGCCAACCTGATCTATTGTTAATTGAGTACTGCTAGTGATGCAATGAAAGAGTATTCTCGAAAAAAATTTCACAATAATAGTAATTCTTCTTCTCTACTAAAGGCATTGCCTGGTCGTTGCAAATCTGGATCTTTATTCTTTTCTGTTAAAAGCCAGTCTTTTCATGTCTATGTATCGCTACAGTCAGCTTGTCTTATCATATCTTCTATATGTGCTTTCCTCGGTCTACCTCTACCTTTGTGTCCATTTATTCGTCCTTCAAATAAATTTGTTATAAACGAATTGTGCCTTAATAGGTGACCAAACATTTTCCACTTCTTTCTTTTATGGCATTTAACAGAATTCTTTTTTCCCCTACTTGGTTTAATACATCTACGTTACTTTTCATTTCTGTCCAGCTGACTTTCAGCAACCTTCTCCATGTCCACATTTCCATAGCTTCCAACTTCTTCTTGTCTTGTCCATTGATGGTCCATGTTTCACAGCCATATAGTAGTACGCTCCATACATAGCATTTGACAAAATTTTTTCTTGACTTTGTATTAAGTTTTTTGTTTGTAAGTAGCTGCCGTTTGCTATAGCTATTCTTTGTCTAATTTCTATTGAGCATCTACCATCGCTAGTAATCGTACTTCCTAGATACTTAAATTGTTGAACCTGCTCAATTAAGTTATTATCTATTTCTAACCTCACTAAAGGAATTTCTTTTGCTTTAGTCATCACCATTGACTTTGTTTTATTTGCATTTATTTTCATTTGATACTCTTGCAATATTTTAGTGAGGGTGGTTAGAAATTTTTGCATGTCTTTTTCCGATTCAGACACTAAAGCAATGTCATCTGCAAATCGTATACAATGTATCTTTTCTCCATTTATGCTTGTTCCTTTAGAGTTTCTCTTATACTTGTCTATGATTTCTTCTACAAATAAATTGAAAAGATAAGGTGATAAGGAACAACCTTGTCTCACCCCTCTTCTAATTTTTGCTGTTGCAATATGTTCTCCTACATTTATTAAGGTCTCTTGTTTCTTGTATAGTAACATTATTATTCTTCTGTCCCTCTAATCTATTCGAGTTCTTTTCATAGAGTTCATCAATAAATCCCAGTTAACTGTGTCAAAGGCTTTTTCTAGATCTATAAAAGTTATAAATGTATTTCTATTTTTTATTTAGCCTTCTTTCGGTAAGTACCCTTAGAGCTAAAATTGCTTCTCTTGTACCAACTCCCTGTCTAAACCTGAATTGGTCTTCATCAAGCTCCTCTTCGGTTTTTGTCCTTATCCTATTTTTTTATCATAAGAAGTATTTTGGACGCATGTGTTAACAGATTTATTGTTCTATAATTCTTGCATTCTGTGGAATTCCCTTTTTTAGGGATAAGTACAATTTTGCTTTTGGCAAAGTCCTCCGGAATGTTGTCATCCTTATACATTTCCTCAATCATTTCATATAGCTTATTCTCGGAATTTTTTCCGACGTTTTTTAATAGTTCTGCTGGGATGTCATCTACTCCTGTCGCTTTACCTTGTTTCAATTCATTTAGTGCTTTAATAAATTCGCTTTTTGTTATATTTGGCCCTATGTCTTCTCGTTTGACTCACTTATATTTTCAATATTTATGTCATTTTATCCTATACAACCTTCATACAAATCATCTATGTACTCTTTCCATCTCGTCACTATTCCACCTTCATCTAAAATCAGTTGTCCATTCATATCCTTAACAATTTTGCTTCTTGGCTTCGGTAATCTTGACAATCGTTTAATCATTCCATATGCTTTGTCCATTCTATTTGCAGTCATATTTGCTTTAATGTTTTCGCACGTTATATCCATCCATTTCTCTTTTTCATCTTTACACTTTTGGGTAATACGGTTCTTTATTATTCTATACATCGAATCGTACGTCTTCATTAATTTGTTGCGGTATTTTATTAAGTCCATTATCTCACTCGTTATCCATGGTTTCCTTGGATTTAGTTTCCTAAGTCCAATTGATTCTTCGGCAAATTGCCAAATATTATTAAGCAATTTTTCCCATGGTGGGTTGATATCATCAGCTATCACTCCGTTATGAACCTTGTTTTGTTTCTTCATTTTTAAGTTTTTCTACGTCCCATATTTTACATTTGGGTCGTTTTGTAATTTTCTTGTGTATTATTTTGTACTTCATCACTACTAGGTTATAATCGCTATCGATTTCCGCGCTAGGAAAACTGTGACTTGTAATTACAAGTCACAATTATTTGGTTCTTAAAACGGCTCTTTGCTAACACATAGTCAATTTGGTAACGATTAGTATCCCCTGATGCTACCCATGTATAGAGTCTTCTTTTTGGTACTTCAAACATTGTGTTGGAAACTAGAAAAATGTTCTGCTTACAAAAATTGACTAATCTTTCACCTCGGATGTTTCTTGTTCCTAAGCCATGTTTGCCTACTATTTGATTGTCTTGTCCTTCTCCTACTACCGCATTGAAATCGCCCATAATAATTACATTATCGCTATCTCGAGTTATTCCTAGCAGTTCATCTAGAGAATCATACACTTGTTCGATTTCGTCGTCTCCACTATTCGAGGTTGGAAATCATACCTGGATGACTATCATGTCTACTGTGGATGTCTTTAATTTTATTAATAATATTCTATCATTCACATGATAGGTATTTTCTACTTGCAGTCTCCATTCTTTGTTTAATAGTATTCCAACACCATTTTTCCCTTGTTTATCTCTCCAGAAATCTCCGTTGTCACCCCATCTAGTTTCACACACTCCTAAAATATCAAGCTGTTTAAGTGTCATTTGTTGTTTAAGTTCTTCAAATCTTCCTGGTCTTAACAACGTTCTCACGTTCCACGTTCCTATTTTAGTTGGAATAGTTTTTTTTTGATTTTATTTTCAATGTTTTGTTTTTGTTTTGGCATGGATTTCGCTGGCTGACAAACTGGGAAACCATGCTCTGTCTCCCCCTGCCGGACTCCGGGTTCCGAATCCCATCGTCTCATTTTATATCATTCATATGGTTCACCTTAATTGCTTGATGTTTGGGAAAAATAATGCAGTGGTTTCCCGTTGCCTTCTGCATCGCAATGACATCTATTATTAATAAGGGATGCTATTCAAGTATAGATAAATCTATACTTGATACTAACAATGTTGCTGCCCCTTTGTTAGGTTCATTTTGGTCGACTTTTACGACGGGCATGGCCTGCCGTGGGTGTATTCTGTGCCCCACCCACAGGGGATAATGGTAATTATCCTTCTAAATATATTCCTAGAGATTATTACTAGAAAAAGTATTTTTTAAAAATAAAATTATGAACTTAACTTAAGCTAAAATAAGTTTAGTGGTAAGATATAGAGAAAAAGAACAATTTTATTTAATTACTCATATTCCACATTAAAGTCTTATTAAATTATTTAACGAGTCTACAAACACGAAAACATTAACAAGATTTGAACCAGCATTTCAAAAATAATTGATATTTAAGAATAAAGAATATTGGTTAAGCATAGATTTGTTTATGTTATCATAAGAATTTTCCCAAAAAATACCTCAATTATTGTGCCCTCTATGTTAAATCTCGACTATACTGAACATTGTTTTATTTATTTAATTTAATGAAGTTTAAATTTTAATTTCTTTATTTAAAATGCATGATAGTATTCTATAATTATTCTAATGTGTTTTTTTATAAAGAGATTTTGAACGGCCATTTTCTGTTGTGGTTTGAATTGTTAAGAATGTAGCTGAACGTTTATGTGTTATTTCGAGATATTTCAAAATTTAATTAATAGAGTTTAACATACTGATGCAGACCACGACAAAAATACATTTGATTTGAGCTAATATATTTTTTTTCAAAAAGGTATTGAGCTTCATGACTTCAAAGTTTTACAGATCACCAAGTAATTCAAACAACAACAATATTAATTTTTCAGAGTCAATAAATTTCTCATTTTTTTAAATTAGAGGTAATAAATCATTATCGTAAAAGAAGTAAGTTAGAAATGGTGGTTTATCAATTACAATTAAAACTATCTAACCTTTCGAATCAACTATAGTAGAAAAATTTAGAACAGAAAGTGTATTTGGTGATATCACAAAATCGAAACAACAAATAAAATAAAAGGTAATTAAAAAATGTTGTGTTTGACATTTTCTATATAATTGCAAATATATTTACAAATGTTTAAATTCATATGATATATAAAAGAATTACCACAGTTAAGTATTTCTAAATGCTAATTAGATTTGTTCTGTTTTCGAATACATTGTTTTTCCAAAGTGAATTCACAAGATTAATCACGTCTAAAATATTTTTGCCCTCTCTACGAAAAATTTCTGAATCACCATGAAACTTATTAGAAAAGTGTATATAATTGTGAATTTTGAAACATCAACATTTGGATGATCATGCACACTTATTAAAAATGTTCGTTACCTCTTTAAAAATTTAATCAAATCTTGAACGCCTAAATTAACACAAAACTATAAACAGATATATATGTGGTGTTGCCTTCCTTCTACGCCCTAAATTCATGGAAAGTTTGAATAATTTCAGCTTATTTGAATCAAATTTTTAAATTTTTATTTATTTTATAAATAAATTTGTAAATTAGTTGTATTTATAAATACATTGCTAAAAGGATGCATTTGAAATAACCTTTTTCATATATGGATATAATATAGTTTATAATTAATTATAATTCATTGTATTAATATGATAGTAATAACATTATTTAAGATTTTTCGATTTGTAAATTAAATTAAGTACGTAATTTTTCCACATTTTCAAAAACAAAACATAATTATAGAAATTAAATATTTTCAATAAACGCAATTGTGATTATTTTTTTTTATTGTTTCGAAGCATTCCTTGGAATACAAATCCGGACAAAAATGGCTAATGCTATATTTGCCTATTTTTTATTACACTTTTAACGATTCTTTTTTAACGAAGTGGTCTTAACCCAACTTCCTGAAAAAAATTATAATTAAGTAAATTAGTTAATTAAAATGGTGCTATACATATTTGTTTATGTATTAATATTAATTGTATTTAATGTTTTTAATCGGGTTTTAAGTGCTAGGATAATACCTATTGTATGAGGGTAGTGACAACATGGACAATCAAGAATAGTAACTAATCGATTAGTACATGAATCGCAAAGTCTTCTTCTACAACAATCTGTTATATTAATTTTATGTTCTGGAATGATTGATTTACATAAAAAACATACTAAAAAAATTGAAAATATTATTAAATTTTTTCATAAATTATGATCTAATTTTTATATAATATTAAATTGATTAAACTCTAAGTTTTATATTATAAAAGCTATACTAGAATATTATCTAAAAATAAATTAATTCGAGATAAAGGGTTAGTGCATTAAAATCATAGTATTACGATCTATCATAAAGTTGAATATGAATAAAAAAAAATTCTCATTCAAGCGACGCCACTAAGTGTGTTGCTGTGACTGAAAAAATAGTCCATAAGCGAACGGCTTAAAAGTATTACTACAAAATTAAAAATGACACTGAAAACAAAAACCCTAAGATCCTATTGTTAATTATAGTGCAAGTTATCTACTATTTGTGTCAAGAAGAATAATGCTAATATTTATTTAAACCATGAAGTTCAGGGAAAAAAGGTCCTAATGAGATTTGCTCTTTTTTTAGGATCTTAAAAATGAAGTTCATTCAATACACTTACTAATATTGTTCCACTATATATATAATAGAATAAATTGTAGATAATAAGGATGAATCTTAATTTTATAGTGTATTTGTAAATACTTTACCAGTAGTTATTACATCTTTAGAGCAATATAAGCAGGTCGTATTTCCTTTTATATTCATTGAACTTAGAATACATGATTTACAAAATATGGAATTGCATTTTTTATAAGTATCAGTTTTATCAGAAATAGCCTCGAAACAACAACAGCACTCTTAAAAAGAATCAATAAATTAATTATAAAAATAAAATAACAATAAAAATAACTGAATGAAGTTAAACATTTTATAACTTTTTATTCAATCAAAGAGCTGTAGAATCGTTTGAAATTAGTTTATATTAACACATATATTTTAATATAATTTCCCAACTAATAGTTCGAAGTATAGCCTCAGCTAATATTTGGTTCATTTAACTTGAAAATATGTATGTTATTTTATTTAAACACATTTCTTAGTATGAAGAAAATTGAATACAGCTCCCCAAAGTACGGTATTTTAACTATTTTATGCGGTAATGTTATATATGTTGTCCATGTTTGGCTTATAAGGACTTTATAAAGATAACCAAAATTGCTATTTTTAACGATAGGTAATAAGCGCAATTATCTTGGCTAATCTCTTTTAATCTTTTCAAAATACTGTACTCTTATAAGTAATAGAACACAGTGTAATGTATTAAGGCAATGAATATTATTAGAGCATTTCGTAGATTTAATTATAAATCTTAAAGGTTTAATTGTTATCAAGCAGATCTGGTCTACATAAGTATTGAATAAGAGATTAGATTGAAATATTTCAACAAAATGATAATTATGTCAAATGTTATAAGTGTTGTCAGTTAGGTCAATACACGCTTTATATACAAGATATATCACTTACGATTGCTCTTTCGTTTTATGAGTGGTTGATTACAATATGGGCAATTATCGTTTTCTTTAGTTATTTGATCAAAGCATTCCTTGCAAAATTCGTGTGGACAAAACGAAGAATAGCTATATTTTCCTATATTTGTTTTACATTCCTTACATAATGAATTCAACTTAATTATATCAAACAGTTTACCTAAAAATTTCAATGATTCAGTTGGTAATTTAATGGATTAAGAATTATAAACATTTACATATTTTGTTAAAATATTTTGAACATATTATCAGCCAGTACAACTTTTTATTATTTAAATTTAAAACTTAGTTATGAGTTGATACCGTGGTTATTTATTTGGTGGTGATTAGGGATTAGGAATATATCCTACTAAAACTAAACATATTTATATGCTACTATATAAATCTATTATTAAGTTACACAAACTTAAGGCCTTCGATGTGGCTTAAACACAATTTATAAATGCATATCATTTCTAGCCTTTGTAATTTATATGAATAAATTTTCTTATGTACAACTAGTACCAGTGCTTCATTTCGTACAAATTGATGTACCCCTCAGTTTAAGACAAAACATAAAGACAATTAAAAATAAAAAATTTTTAAATATATTTTTTGAAATATAATTTTTATGTACCCCAAAAGTGTTAATTTCAATATTTGTAAAAACAATTATTTTTTCTAAATAAATTATTTGTGGTATTGGTTGGGAATATTTAAAATACTATAGAAAAGGAACTCCTAAAAGTTTTAAAAACTTGTTCTGGAGGTATTTGTAGAGTGTAAAAATCCATCTCCTAATAGTCACTATTTAATTATTTTAGTTATTTATTCAATATGAAGTGTAATTTATTGTATATGGTTAACTTCATTTTTTAATAAAAATGCATAGATTAAAATTTAAATCAATTTTAATTAGTGCTGCTAAACAGTACTCCGAAACTCACATTTTCTGAACCTTCAAATCCTAACATCTTAAAAAGTAATAATAGAAAACTAGTTTTCGAGTAGTTAACATATTATTTAGACCATTATTAATTTAATATGTACATTAAAATTTTGTTTAATATATTATAAGCATCACTATTTTAAAATAAAATTGATATGTAATACAGTTACATCTAAATATTATTACCTTTTGTTTTATACATGTTGCAAAAAGGACAACTGCCGTTAAGAAAGTTTTCTTTATTAATTTTAAAAAAGCAATTGTAACAAAATGCCTTATTACAACATGTTGTCACATACTTTTTCCCATCTTCATAAATATTCGAATAACATGTAAAACACACTAATAAAATTAAAAAGAAAGTATTTTAATGATGTACTAACAATTATAATTAAATTTTTTTCTAAAATGGAATTATTATTTCAAAATGTTTTAAAGATAATACTATATTTTCAATAACCATTTTACAGTAATTTTTAACAAGTGAGCATTCAGATTGTTTTAGCTTCGATGCGAAGCTGAAAAGGTATTCATTTTACTATGATATAGTAACTAATACTATAATACTATAATATTATGTTATCATAAGTGTCCTTATTATGTATTAGTTAAGTTTTTTAATAATTAATCTCAAAAAACCCAGCACAGTGGGGTGGCGGCACAGTGGAGTCGTGGCATAGTTGGGTCCAGTATAGATGATATCTGACAGTGATTAAAATCACTATCATAAAAAACGCTTCGATGCAAATCTGTAGATAGTGTTTAATTAAAAAAAAAAAAATTTGTTAAATTAGCATATTTTTGAATATGGTAGCCATTTGCACATAGAATATAAGATGTCGGGACAAATTTTTATTTTCATTTTATAGTACATAAAATAAGCTTTAATTTGATATGTTTAAAGGACGCAGTATTCCCGGAACATTTTCAAAAGTTAAGTTAAAAAAGTTATTTTTTGTAAAAAAGTTACTATTTTAAATCCCCCCAGTGAGCAGAATAAGTGTTAGATTTTCAAAAAAAATTATATCAAATGAAAGGGAAATATCTAAGGTTTCAATACAAAAAAATATTATTTTTATTTGTTCATTTTTGAAAAAGTTATGGCAGTTTTAAGTACAAAAAACATCCCGATAAAAGGTAATTTTTATCGCAAACATTACATTTTTTTTAGCTTCGATGCGAAGCGGAGAAGGTATTAACTTTACTATGGTGTGTTTTTTTTTTGTGTCTGTTACCCCATTTTCTCAGTTCTCACTGAACCGATTTCTTTCAAAGATACGTCAAAAGATCACAAATCGTATCTAGTCAAAGACATTATCCTCAAAAATTGTAAAAATTTCCCTCGTTCTCCATAAATGGGGGAAACCTTCAAAAAAATTACAAATTTAAAAATCGCTAATTTTCAAAATTTTTTCAATTTATTTTACATAGAACTGCCATAACTTTTTCTAAAAGGAACAAATCAATATAATTTTTTTTTATAGATGCTTGATGTCTTTACCTATTATTTGTTATATTTTTTTATAAATTTGACCCTGCCCACAGAGGGGGATTTAAAATGACAACTTTTTCACATAAAATTAACTTTACAACTTAACTTTTGAAAGTGTTCCGGAAATACTGACACTTTTATATATATATTCAATTAAAGATTATGGAATATAATTGAAAATTTAAAAAATTTCGGACTTTATTTTGTTTTCATGGTGAAAACAGTCATCAAAGTTAATAAAAAAAATATGATTTATGTAAAAATATTCTTTTTCATATTTTTAATTTTATAACGCTATAACTTTTTGAAAAATGTATGGATCAATACAATTTTGTTATGAGAAATAAGAATTATATACCTCTTTAATTCAACATATTTGTTTTTTAAATCGGACCATTTTCCTTAATACGCAGGGGGTTCAAAACATATAAATGCATTGTGAAAGTAGAACTTTGTCAACTTGACTTTTGAAAATGGTCCTGAAATACTGATACTTTTATATATATCGTAAATTAAACATATGTAATATACTTTAATATTAAAAATAAAAAATTTGGACTTTATTTTGTCTTCACGGTGATATTTTGTGTGAAAATTCTTGATTTTATTTTTAAAATTTTTAACTTTATAATACTATAACTTTAAATTGAAAAGTGTATGGATCAACACAATTTTTTTATGAAATAATATTTTTTAATAATCCCTTTTTCATTCGACATACTTTATTTTAATTAGGATATTAATAAGGAACTAGCAAATCATGTAACTTTTGGAATAATAAACCAATTTTTTAAAATTAAACATTATCTAAAGATTTGCATCAAAGCGTTTTTATTTTGGTAGTGATTTTAATCACTGTCAGATATTATTATACTTGATCCAATTATGCCACGACCCCCCTGTACTGGCTTTTTTAAACTTTTTTGTTTTATGAATATTTAATGAATTAATACAGCTAATAAATTTAGGTTTATTTATTTGTAAAATTATTATTATTTTTCCTATCCTATATTTATTGAAATGGAAATTTGTGTGTGAATTTATAATTTATTATCATATAATGTAATATAATAAATAATAATATAAAAATCCAGCACAGTGGGGTCGTTGTATATTTGATTCCAGTATAAATGATATCTAACAGCGATTAAAAGTACTATCATAAAAAACGCTTCGATGCAAATCTGTAGATAGTGTTTAATTAAAAAAAAATAAATTTTAATAAAAAGTATGTCAAATGAAAGATGTACTTATAATGTATTTAAAAAAAAAAATTTGTGCTGATATATACATTTTTCAAAAAGTTATAGCATTTTTAAGTTGAAAATTTTAACACAAAAATAGTGTTTTTTTATTTAAACGGCTACGGCAGCCGTTTAAATGTAGAAGAAAAAGTGTCCGGACAAATTTTTTTTTTAGCTTCGATGCGAAGCGGAGAAGGTATTAATTTTACTATGATGTGTTTTTTTTTTTTTAACATATATCAAATTAAAGCTTATTATATGTACTATAAAATGAAAAAAAAAAATTTGTCATATCATTGAAAAAAATTGGTCAAGTGAGAGCTAGGAAAAATGATTGACAGACACAAAAAAACCACAGAAGAAAATAAATTTGATATACATAAAAAATTCCACCTCACAACGGGAAACGACATTTGTGGGGTCCTTGATTTTTATTGAATTACATTAATTTATCTAAATTGACTAAAAATAAAAAGAGTTTTGAATTTTTTACGTATACTCATTAAAATTAAGAGAAAAAAATAAAAAAGTCAATGCGACGTGCGAGGTAAAAACCTTGTAGTTTAAGCATGAAATATATTAACGTAACCGACACGGTAATCGTACATTGCATTTGTTGGTAGTTAAAAAGGACAATTTAAGCTAGTTCAAATATTCAAAGTATAATAAAAATTGATCACTTGTGGCCAATTAATTTTACTTATTCAAAGTATTTTATCGAATTAAAAGAATCAAAAATTTTACATTAGTTCAATTTATATTCTATTTAAGGTAGATGTTTTATAAAAATTGATGCCTTAATTACTGTGTTCACTATCTCTAAAGTATTTGAAAATAAAAAAATCACCCAGTTGTAAATTTTTTTAAATATACAAATGAAAAACAAATATTTGTTTTATATATTCAAATTTTTAAATGGAATATTTATTACTATTTCATTCAGTTTTCGACACGTGTATTTTAGGATTCCTTCATAAAGTTTTGAACTCTGTTACCAGAAAAAGTCAAATTACAAGATAATGACTAAAAAAATAATAGAAATATTCATTGAAACGTAGCATTCAGAATTACTGAGCCAGACATTATGGTTTCAATGAACATCTCACATAATGCCCCTGATTTTCTGCTAACAAATCAATAAGCCTTGTTAAAAAATATAATTAAGTTTACATTTTTTGTAGTGTTATAAATTATATATAAACTTTTTAATACTTACAATTGGGTACATATTCTCTGCATATAGGACATTTATTAACACTTGTTTCTAGCCATTTAACAATACATTTTTTACAATACTTAATATTACAACATGTTAAAGTAAGTGTTTGTACATTAAAATCTTGTAAACAAATTGAGCACACTAAAAAAAAAAACTAATAAGTTGAGAAGAAATAATTATTGCCTTCTAACCTAATGCTAAAAATCTTATAAACATTAATTTATAGACGTAAGAATTAATTATGTTCAAATAATTATTCAAGGTAATATAATTTTTTACACACATTTTATTTTATTTTTATTTTATTAAGTTATGTTCATTGATTTTAAGTCACATATTAGGAGGCATTACTTTTTAGTCAACCCTCGCGGGCAAAGAATTTTCGATTTAGAATTTTCTAAAGTTGTTCACTTACCAGATATTTTTGCCAAAAATGTAATTTTAATCAAATAATTGAAAAACATTATTTTTATGAAAATTTAATAATTTTTTTTGATAATAACATTTGTTGTCAATCATAACCTTTTCTGCCCTTTGGCCGTCACTTATATGGGGTTATATTGTCTTCTTTATTTACCTCACCTTTATCCTAACTACTTGAGTCTGCCATACTTATCCTAAACTTTTACTTGACACGATGTCTCACATTATCTATTATTATATGGAAAAATCCGCCTAAGTTCTGTTCAGATCTTCTCATATTTTCTGACAAAATTGTACACCATCATTCGGTTTGATGCAATCTCATTAGTCGTTTCTTACGACTGGCAGAGGGACTGTGGAAGTATTCTTATCCCCTTTCCAAATGGGAACACTTAAGGGGTTGTATGAATATACAAATTACAAATTAATTTTGTGTAAAATCAATTAATATTATATTAATTTACTCAGGTTAATATCGCAAAATTTTCATTGCATTAACCGACTGTAACACGTAACAGAAATGGAAAACATCAATTTGTTAATTATTTGGAAGTTGGAGAATTATTAGTAAGAATATAATTTTAAGAAAAAAAATGTTTGCAAAAGATAAAATTTATTCGATATTTTGCAATTGTTTAGGTTTTATTTTTCCAAAGTACTGTTTTACTTTGTAATATTATATTATCACTTACAATATTAACATAAAATATGATTTTATCATTTATACATGTATGACACATGTTATGAATATATAAGATCACCCATTCATAGTTCCCGTCTTTAAAACACAAAATAACAATTTAATAATGGAATAAAATCTAATTATTGGGCAGATTTACAGTAACGCCTAAGTGTAGGGCCTCATTAAAGTCCAGAAAATCACATTAAACACTTTAATAAAATCTCTAACTTCCAAGATTATGCTTAAGATCGCCAGACTTTGATCCTCTGACAATAAAAACCCATATTATTCTATTAAAATTAGTTCTTTTAGTAATTTCAAAATACACAAAATCTGCGACACTCTACTCAAGAATGTTACTATCTGTGACTTTTTTCCAATTTTATTTAGGACTTATGTTTAGACGGCCATATTTTTAATGTTTAATATTTGACTTGGTGATTATTGTATCGCATTCCTTTTAGGCCCGCTACAATATCACTTTGGTAAAATTTCAACATATATATAAATATTTTTGAATCTTGTTTTGGAAGAAGCTTTAAAAATGTTAGTGTTGATCTTTCAATACTTACTCAATAAAGATAAAAATAAGAGTACATTATAAGTTATATTTCTAATAAAAATACATCGATTATTTAATTATAAATAATATATAATGATTTATATATATATATATATAACTTACCATCACTTCCGCCTAAAATATAATAATCAATGATTATTAGTTAATATTTAATCTAATAATACAGTTTAAGCGAGTACGATAAATATACAAAAACAAGTATAATTTAATTTAGTCAAGCAAGTGTAAATAAATTTAGGATAAATGTATTAATTAAGGATTGAAACTTTTTCGATTTGTTTGCGGCCTCCCTAAAGAAGGAGGTTTCTAAACCATCAATACTCCGGTACAGGTGGTTAGTCTGTCGCGCGGAGAGAAGGATTGCTACTCTAATTACCGAACTAATCTCTCGATCGACAAATGAAGTCGCCTGTGACTGAGTTTCGAACCCGATGCAGTGAGCGTTAAGCACTGCCGCGTTACCGACTCGCCCACGCCATCCCTTTATAAGTATAATATATAAATAAATATTTATCATAGCAATTATATAGTATGATATTAATATTCAATAGTTTAATATTTAAATTTTTGTGGAGAAATTATAAAGTATATTTTGTTATTTCTATGGCAAACGTGAAAAAAAATTGAAAGGCTTTATCATTATAAAGACGATTGTTATACTTTTACATTTATTTGTGGAGATATTTAACTTAATAAGAAATTTTTTTGGGTTGCCTTTTTTAACAGTAGATTTTTGTCTAAATTTTTAAAATGATGAGTTTTTTTCAATATTTTGTGACTTTAATTTCAACTAGATTAAAATCGTGTTCATTTGACGTATTGACCATTGAAATATTTTTAGTGAGAGTTGAAAATTTTTCTTAGTTACGCATTGAAATTAAAAAAAAACAATAAAAATGTTGATAAAAAAATCAACTCTATGTATTATATATTTAATTGTAATTGTGAAAATTCACTGTCAAATTTATGTGAAACACAAAATCATTTTTTTAGAAATGGTTTATATAATAACATGTTACCAAAAAATGTGGAATAATATAGACTGGTAGTAACATACACAAATAGTGTTAAGAAATTAAAAAATAACAAAGTAATAAATATAGTTAAAAAAAAACTAAAAAATACTTTAATTTCAACTAGATTAACATTGTGTTCTTTTGACGTATTGACCATTGAAATATTTTTAGAGAGAGTTGAAAACTTTTCTTAGTTACGCATTGAAATTAAAGAAAAACAATAACAATTTTTAAATTTGTACCTCTAATATTTACATAGTTTGAAAATTTATATTTATGTGTTTAATAAGTATTGCTTTACATTATCAATAATATTACGTTTAATGGTGTTATGTTTTAACTGATATGATATATTGTCAATATTTTTAATAATATATAGAATAATAGATGAAATAATAGACATACTGTCATTATTGTTGCTTGGAGAACAACATCCTGTAATTGTAACAATTTTCATAACATTTATTATGCATAAAACATTTAAAATGTATAATACTTAATGAATTCTTTAATGTATTTAATGTATTGAAGAAAAACGCACTCACCTTCTAATTCTTCATCTATAAAATAAGGTATTAATAATTATTTCATTATTAAATATAAGGAGACTCGCCGCTTCTCGTATAGACAACTGTAAGTGTTGTCAAGTCAGAAAATCTATTTATTTCTGTACAAACCATAGAAAACAGCAAAAAATATGAAGTATCCACAAGCACTTAAAAAATGTGTTATACACATTTTTTTAAGAACACTATAGCTTCAATTTTTAATGCCCATTAGAGAGGCCTTGGGTATAGAATAAATTTTTTTTTTAAATACGATTTTCTCACTTCTTATAATTATTAATAAAACAATAAGATTTAAAAAAGCAAACTTAGTACAGTGGTTAAAATCACTATCATAAGAAACGATTCAAAGCAAATTTGTAGATAGTGTATGAAATTAGAGGATTATAACAAAACCTAATGAAATTTTACTTCTTTATTTACATTCTGATTACAAGTTTTATGATTTATTAGTATAAAACTCGAATAAAGAATCATTGTAGTAATTATATAAAAAAAAAATTTTTTAATGTTATTTCTTGATTTAGTAATTGTTAAAAGTTTTTTTACTCATCACTTATATCTCATAATTGTGTCATATTTATTTTATATATAAATGTTAAATAATTTATGCATTCCTTCAAAAAAAATAAATTGCAAAAAATACACTCACCTTCTATATTTGATGCTGTAAATAATTTTATAATAATTATTTATTTTTAAGAGTTTTACTTAAAATATTGCATTAAACGTATTTACTTGATAACTATAATATTGTGCATTGAAAAATGGTTTAATTAGATGTAAGATTTTATAATAATGATAAAACACATTTTAAATAGTTTTACTAACAATTTAACATCTGTTAATTTTATAAATCTAAAAGCCACTTCCATCAGATGGTTTTTATAACGGACTTATTTTTCAATCGGTTTTGAATAAATCAATTTGTGTGAGAGTGATAAAATGTTATACCAGATGTCCTCGATATAGAATGTCTTAAAACTAACCTAAAACTCATAACTCATGATAAAATTAGGATATTGGAAATTAAAAAAAAATTATGGCTTTCTACGAACACACTGTGTACAATGAATATTTTAGCTTCAATACTATGCTGAGAAAATTTTTTATTATTTATCACTAATGAGAAACAAATTTTCTGTTTTTAATTTCAAATTAGCCATTTTTCAATGCTTTTCTAATTGTTATAATTGATGGATCGACAAAAATTTTAGGAGAAGTACTTATTAAGTTACAAGATTTTTTTTATAGATTGACGTGCATAATGCATATAAAGTAAGTGTCATAAATATACTCCTCTTTGAATCAAATCGTACTGTATATCCAATTCACATAATAATATGCTTGTATCTAATATTTTACATTATTTTCTTTTTGAGTTACTATAATGTTTTTGGGAGAAAATTAACAAGTTTCAATGTACATTAAATTTTCGAGTTTCCTTAAATTTCCTTTTTTCTGAGATTGCAGTATTGGTAAAAATAGTTAGTTATAGTTAAAATGAACAATTAGTAAAATTTAAATTAAGGTTCAATAGAATAATTATTAAATTTATTTAGTAATTACTTGGAATTAATGAACTACCTGTATATAACAAAATTAATTACTATTTAAAGAATAACTAAAATCAAATTATATCTCGAAAAAACATGTTTGTAGGTTATAAATCAATTAAAAAACTATAGATTTTTAAATAATTGAAATATTTTTGTGTATAAATCTAAATTATTAGTAAGAAAGCATTGTAGAAAGCTGAGTTTACTTACAAAAAGAAAATTTTATTGATAACTATTACTTACTAGAACTTGAAAAAACTCCTAATAAAAATATAAATAATAATTATAATTTATTTAACAAATTAATTTTATTGTTGAATAATATTTTTAATGAAAAACATGTATTAATCAATCATTAACCAAAGAGCAAATTTAATAATCGTAAGTTTTGAGGAGAGACATTGTCCATGACAACTACAATAATCAAATAATATTTAATTTAACCAATTTAGTCCAAAAATTAATAAGATGAATATAAAAATCAATTGTTTTATATTACCTGCTGATTGTATTAATAAATATGCCAATATTGCTATTAATATCATAACTGATTTCTAAAAAAATAGTAAATAGCTTATTTATGCATTGATGTTGATATGTTTTATCAGTCACACTAAAAGACTTAAAATAATAGACTAATTAAATTTGAGTTATACGTATGCACCATGTAGATCACAATAATATGACAACCTACTTTTGATCTACCAAATATTTTTGTGTTACTTTTTTTCAAATAAATTATGCATTCTTAAACTACGTTAAAATTGTATTTTATTTATATTTAATAATAAAAACGGTAGCACAGTGGGGTCGTGGTATAGTGGAGACATTGCATAGTAGGGTCCAGTATAGATTTAATCTGACAGTGATTAAAATCACTATCATAAGAAACGCTTCGATGCAAATCTGTAGATAGTGTTTAATTTTAAAAAATTGATGGATAATTGCAAAAGCAACATCAACTTCTATTAAAATAAAATACAAAACCCATAATTATCATACAAAAATAGTATATTTTTCAATATGGTAGCCATTTGCGTATAGAAGATAGATCGTCGGGAAAATTTTTTTTTTTTCATTTTGTAGTACATAAAATAAGCTTTAATTTTATATATGTTTAAAGGACGCAGTATTTCCGGAACATTTTCAAAAATTAAGTTGAAAAAGTTATTTTTTGTAAAAAAGTTACTATTTTAAATCCTCCCAGTGAGCAGAATAAGTGTTAGATTTTCAAAAAAAATTATATCAAATGAAAGGGAAATATCTAAGGTTTCAATACAAAAAAATATTATTTTTATTTGTTCATTTTTGAAAAAGTTATGGCAGTTTTAAGTACAAAAAACATCCCGATAAAATGTAATTTTTATCGCAAACATTACATTTTTTTTTAAATTTTCGACAGCCATTTGCACATAGAAGATAAGATGTCGGGACAAATTTTTTTTTTTCATTTGATAGTATATAACATAACCTTTGATTTGATATATGTTTAAAGGACGCAGTATTTCCGGAACATTTTCAAAAGTTCAGTTGAAAAAGATTTATGTTTTTTACAATATTTTAAGTTTTGAACGCCCCCTATATAAGGGGAAATTGTCCAATTTTAATAAAAAGTATGTCAAATGAAAGATGTACTTATAATGTATTTAGAAAAAAAAAATTTGTGCTGATATATACATTTTTCAAAAAGTTATAGCATTTTTAAGTTGAAAATTTAAAATCGAAAATCGAAAATTTTAACACAAAAATAGTGTTTTTTTAACTACGGCAGCCGTTTAAATGTAGAAAAAAAATTAAGTTGAAAAAATTAATTTTTGTCAAAAAATTTGCCATTTTAAATCCCCCCCAATGAGCAGGTTAAGTGATAGATTTTCAAACAAATGATATCAAATGAAAGGTAAATATCTAAGGTTTTAGTTTAAAAAAAAATTATGTTGATTTGTTGATTTTTCAAAAAGTTATGGAAGTTTTAAGAAAAAAAAGTGAAAAAATTTCAAAAATTAGCAATATTTAAATTTGTAGTTTTTTTGGATATTTCCCCCATTTGCGGG